ACCCTAGGAAGATAAAAATTGAGTAGAAAGTCTCAGATGGTAAAAATAACCCTGGAAATGGGTTCAGAACGAAAAATTGAGTGGACAGGCAAGTTTCAGAAAAATCAGTGAATAGTGTTTTTCGCGGGTAAAAATACCGCGGTATGATTGCACCGTAAAACGTGCCGATTGAGTTTTGAGCTCTAGGTTTCAAATATGAGTTAAAAATGGTCTAATGAGTTAGGAAATATGATTTCTTATAATATTCGATGAAATTAAGACAGTTTGGGGAAGCGTGCCAATGGCGCGCATAATAGCTTAAAACAGTGTTTTCTCCGAACGAATGGAGGACTCTTAATTTATCTGATCAAGCCTAATTAAAGGGTAATAGTTAATTTTAAAAATTTGAGTTTCTAAATAGGTTGTGAATTTACGGACGTTTAGTGGAATCGGAGGAAAATTCGGATTAGTTTTAAATCGCGTGAGGTGGCGGTGGGACCCACCCCACTTAAGTGACTTAAGCCACATGTGCTTGGCACTATTCATGCATCACTTTCCTCCCTCTTCTTGCTCAAACCCGCAGCCACCATAGCCCTTCCCCTCCAAGATTTCATTTCACCATAACTTAGCCATTTCTTCACCAAATCCATTGATTCTTGTCTTGAAATTTGATGGAAATGGCCTTCTAAATCCATTGGTGGTACTCCCAAGCCTTGAAAGCCACTAGATTTTGAGAAAAACCCTCCCCAAAGCTGCGGCCCTTTCCTTTAGATTTGTGAAAATGGTGTTGATTGATGCTCCAATGGTGGAGTATGTTTATGAGGAGCCTTGTGCCAAGCTTTTGGGTGAGTTTCCTTGTGTTCCAATGGTTTAATTTTGTGGTTGAATTTATGAACCCTAAAGAGGGCTTGTTGGATTGATGTGTTTAGAGAGCTCAATTGGAAAATGTTTGTACATGAATGTGTCTTAGAATGATGTGTAGTAGCCATAAATGCAATAAAAATTATTGATGAAAAATGTGAATTTTTAACTTAGAAAATTTTGAGGTTGTCATGACTTTGAGTTTTGAAAATGTGTTAGGATTGGATTGATGAGTTGTTGTATGATTGTATGTTGATATAATAGGATTGTATGAGGTGTGGAATGATTAAAGTTGTATGGAAATTCCTTGGAATGCCATAGGGTAAAATTCGATTCTTTGAGGAAAGATTGAGGAATTGATGTTGAAAAATGATTTGGATGATGATTTGTGTAGTTATATGGTGCTTAGATGGGTTGTGTTGTGCTTGGAGAGTGCTTGAATCAATGGAAAAAATGAATTGTGTTAGAGACCTAAATGAGCCCAGAATGAAATATTTCGCAAAACGATGCGTAAATGTCGGAAAACGGAAAAACGACGATTGAACTAGCCTCTAAACAACCTAAGGGAGTGTTATAAAATGAGAAAAAAAATTAGGAAAATAAATCTCAAATTTACACCTACATGGCCGAACCTCCAAGGGGAAAATGGGTGATTTGGCGATTTTCGCGTTTTGATGTAATTCGACGCGAAAATGACGAACCGGCACTTGAACTGGCCTATTGACAACCTAATGAGACGTAACAAAATGAGAAAGAAAATTTAGAAAAATAAATCTCACATTTACACTACAATGGCCGAACCATCAAGGGAGGATGGGGAGGATTTTTGTGTTTTTGCGTTTTGACACTATTTGACGAGTACTGATGGATGTATGTTATTGTATAGGTTGCCGTACGTCGACCTGAATCCCGAATCTTGAATCAGTGAATTGCCCTTGGTCCGGGACCAAGTGGATTGAGGTAAGAAATTGGTTCATTGCATGTGTAATTATAAATTAACATGTATGGGTTGAACTGAGAGTGATTGGGAATGTCCTCTGTGTAGGCATTCCGCTGTGTACCGAGTTGAGGGATAAGCTGCTGCGGAGCTTGTGGAAACACGAATTAAGGTAACCTCTTGGTACTGGGGCTTGTTCCCCTTTTCTGTTCCACCTTGCCAGTTGATGGTAACGGTAGGAAGTGTGTATGAATAGTATATAACACATGAGGATGCATGCATTATTGCTATGGGTACTTATGTACCGAGTCTCTGGCCAGTAGACAGTTTTATTAGCCTTCGGGAATTTTCGGACTTCCGCTGGATAGGTCTCCAGGAGGGAGTTCTAGTTGACTGCGTGTCATGGTGTGTGATCCGGGTAGGAGCACACTAGGAATGTCTTTGGCGTTTTGGTTGGTTTGGGCATCATGGTTGTGGTTTCTGTGAACACACCTTGGATGATACCCATAGGCTTATATATGCCGAGGGCGTACGTGGAATTGGGGTTACCATCCTGTATCGTCGTATTTTGTTTTCTTTATATTCCCCATTCTTTAAATCCCTTGCTATATCCCGTTTTCAAAGTGGTTGTTGTATTCTATTGATATGCATCAAAGTGAACTATTGGGTGGAGTTTTCTCCAGAACCTCTTGGTTACTGAGATATATTCGTATATCTCACCCCGTCTCGGGGCATTTATTTCAGGAGGTAGCAGTCGAGCAGGAGCCTCGGGCAAGAGGCCCGCAGAGTGAGCGATGGAGCGTTTCTTATTTTGCATTTTGTTGGCCGTGTGGCCTAGGCTAGACTTAGGGCATGAACATGTCATTTGTATTTATTAGTAGCTTCATTAGCATCTTGTTCATGCCATTTTGCCTAAGTCTAGTAGTGATGTATTTGGTTATGTTGTCTTTTAAATTAAGTTGAAATTTTAGAAGAATGTAATTTGAAGTTTTAGTTTCAAGTTGTAATTTGTAAAGCCATATTGTAATAGTATTGATGCATGTCTAATTATGATGGAAGGGCCTTAGGCCTATTTTAGGTTATGATAATATGTATGATGGAAATATGCATAAAAAGGTGTTAGTGATTGCAACTACTTAAGAATGATTAATATGGACTCTATGTTTAATAACTATAAACTGGATTGGGTTGTAAGTGCCCCAAGGCGTTGTTGGTCCTTGTGTGTGCCACCCAATGGATTATTACTGTATTATCATGTGTTTATTAGGTACATTTGAGGTTTAAATGATCTTTTACAAATTTGGGATTATTGGAAAAACAAAGGAAACTCTGGCGAATTTTCTGTAGAATTGGCAGATTTTAGGCAAACTTCGGGAGAGCATATCTCCCTCCATAGAGGTCCCCTAGGGACGTGCAATACGCCATTTTGAAGGTTGAGATGTCCTCTACCTTGTGTCAAAATTTAAGGAAAATCTGGGTTGATCATCGGCCTGAAATAAATAGAGAAACGCGGACTGCTCATGTGCCCCTGCACCTGAGGCAGATTCTGGACCGGATTTGGGAAATTAATTCCCGCTTCGTTTCTCTGTCAAATTGAGTGTGTGATATATCAAAATGAAGTTTGAGATGTCTAGTTTGTAGGATACAAATTTGAGAGTACTTGGTTGAGGGGATTGAGTGCAGTAATTCGAGCAATGTGAGTGGTTTGGAGCTGTTTTTGGGGTTGTTTGGGCTAATTGCTTATCCAACTTCAAACGGCGATAACCGGAGCAAATGAGCTCCGAATTGAGCGTATGTTAGCTTGTTAAAAAGGGAATTAAGTAACACAAAGATATAATCTGAGAAAAAGGGTTGGTTGTGATCGGTTTGGTCGCAGAAAAACTTAGAGAGAAACATGTTCGAATTGGTAAAAAACGTAAAGTTGGAAATTGGCTAAGTGAGTTTATGGGAACTCCTTAGTGACTTATAATAAGTAACGTAAGTGATAAAAATAGTTTAAATAAGTCTTCCGCAAGAGTTTACGGTTACGGTCACAGCTTTTAATTATTACGCCTTTTTATGTTTTAAATGCTCGCATAATAATCGGAAAAAAATTTATTCGCGTTTTATAAATGAACTGCTGTGATTGTAACTGCGCTTAATATCATAATTAATGTTAACAATACCGGTACGTAACGGGCTGTTACATTACTTGAGTATGGTAGGGTGAACGAGCCTGGCCCTGTGGCGCCTCGTACTCAATTACCTGAGGAACCAGATACAAGTATTGAGGTCCCACCCAGGGCTAGGGAAGGGCATGGAATTCCTCACCGTCGTGAACACATCCCTTTCGAACCATACAGTCTTGATCCGCCCGGACCTCGGATGCCTGGGACTTATAGACCACCTAGATATCCCACAGGCGCGTATGTTCCATTTGACTATACTCCACAGGTTCGGCCACAGCCACAACCACAACCACATGGTGATTACTCTTTTCAGCAATTTGTATATCCACAACATGCGTCAGCCACACAGGATTGGGGATATCCACCACCGACTCATGATAGCGCGAACGAGACACCATATTGGGCAACGCAGGTGAACATGTCAGGCGCTGCAGGTTCAAGTAGCCAGCAGCAGATAATAAATTCCATATTTGGGGAGTCTGTTGATCCATATGTCCATTGCACTAGCCACAATGACCAAGCAGAACAACACACCCCGGATGTGCCGCTTAGGTCATTTGTCAGGGATGACAATGATGCATCCGATGACTTCTTTGATGCGGCGACTGAAGAATTTGATTTTACAACCCAAATGGATGCGGGATCGTCATTACCCCTGGCACGTAGGCTACCTCACAGGGATGCTAGGTCGAGACAATGGCCGCCCAGATCGTAGATAACCATTTTCATGTATCGTGTAATTTGCAGTGTTTTCATTCATGCTATGTTTTACATATTCCGCGTTCTGTATTATCTACTATTGTGTATGTCTGTTTGTTTGGTAAAGTATGATGGATTGTATTTTCTACTTTGGTAGGCTCTTATGGATTAGTATTTAACGTGTCCTTTTTATTACGTTGTTTATTGTATCGTGTAAACGCATGGTGATTAATCAGGCCCCGTTATGTTTCAACCATTCTAGTAACGATGTTTTACTAGCAAATATCAACTGCATAATATTACTTAACATAAGACAATACACGTGAAATGATATTAACCCCCACTAGGCATTTAAATCATTGAACATTTAAACGTGCAGGACACGACCATCTATTGTGCCCAATCCTTCCACACACACCACACTTACTACGACTTGAACTGGATTCTATATGGTCCATTTCGTTATGAATGCGAGTCCTCTTAGGTCGACCCTTTGCCCGCACGCGGTTTGCATCAGGCAGGAGAATCGATCCATTATAGGGTGGAATTGCTTCCTCATTGCCGATCGGAAACCATGGTGATGCATACACCTTATTAATATTGTGTATGGAGTAGCATGGGTCCACAAAATTATCATAAGTCATCCCCATCTTCAAACAAACAGCCCTGACATGGCTGCATGGATATTTAAATGCTTGGAATTTCCCACATTGGCACTTCCTTTCATTTAAGTACAGAGACAACGAATAACCCCCTTTCTGTGTTATAGGGTTGTATGGTTCTTCCACCTCAAATAAGGTTGATTCTCTATTGAATGCACGCACAATGTGGCTCAAGGCTGCAATTGCTTCTCTCTCCATTCTTCTGTTGGCATTATGGCAAAACTTAATACCCGCATCAGCATCTAGACTAGCTTCGTGACCTCTCTTTACAAAGTAATGCACAAGCTTACTATAAGTATGCTTCACCATAGATGTAATAGGCATCCCTCGAGCTCCCTTAAAAATGCTATTCACGCATTCAGATAAATTTGTCGTCATATGACCATAACGACGTCCATCCACGTCATATGCACGACTCCATTTTTCCTTCGGAATGCTATCAATCCACGTTGCTACCTCTGGGCTATTGCTCCGGAATTCCTCCAACTTAACATCAAAATTGACCTTTGATGGAGTATAACCTGCATATAACAACCAATGGAAGCGTCATTTTTTGTATTTGGTTATAATATTACTTAAAATGTTATAAAACTTATTCTTGCACCTAGATTCTTCAATTGACGCTTCCATTCCTCATTCTTGAATCTTTGGTTGAAGTTACTTCCAACATGTCTAAGGCAAAAAACATGGTACGCCTTAGGAGGCTGCCAATCAAGATGTGGGTTTGCAACAGCCGATAATATTCCACAGTGCCGATCTGAGATTAGGCATATGCCTGTTTTTTGAGTGACATACAAACGTATACATGACAAAAAATATTCCCATGACTCATTCGTCTCACCTTCTACGACTGCAAATGCCAAAGGTAATACTTCATCGTTTCCATCTTGCGTTGTGGCAATCAGTAATGTACCTTTATACTTCCCATATAAATGAGTGCCATCAACTTGTATAACAGGTTTGCAGAAGTTGAACGCGTCACAACATTGCTTGAAAGTCCAGAAAACTCTATGGAAAACCCGGTAGCCATTCACAACACGATGGTTTACCACGTAGTCATTTGTTTGAATGTGGTAAACAGAACCCTCCAAAAATGTCAGCATGTAATTAAACCATCTGGGCAAATAAGCATAAGACTGGTCCCAATTGCCATAGATTTTTGCCATGGCTTTTTGTTTCGCCTTCCAAGCTTTCCTGTATGAAATAGTAAACCCATAATTGTTTCGAATTCTTTCTTGTATCAAACCGATCGATACATGTGGTTCTTCCTTGACCAAATCTGTCAACACAATACACAATGGCACATTATTGTATATTGAAAGTGAATATTAACACAAGAGACACCACAAATTTATTTCGACAAAATACACTCACCTAATATAGTTGAAGCAATGAAGGCGGAATCAAGTTGTCTGTGATCTTGAGACAGGTTACAAGTGACACAATTGTGAGGTCCCTCCCATCTACTCACAACCCACATTAATCCATTTTTTGGTTTCATTGCCCTCATTTGCCATGGACAACCCGACCCATGGTCCTTGCACCTCAAAACTAGCTTCATAGTCGTGCTCTCAACAACAACAACTTCTTTATTAATTTTCATACAATATGACTTCACAGCCATTTGCATTGATTCCTTATAATCAAATTCTTGTTTCAAAGACAACTCATCCCCAATGGTCCATGCACCACGATACTCTCTCTCGTTGTATTCTCGATCTTCATTGGGATACTCATAATTAATGTATGAGAAATGTGGTATTCCATTCCAAAATGGAGATATATTAGGACCTACATTAGGGGTCACATTGTTACCTATATAACATACAAACAACTAAATCGTTAGTTGAATACGTTGCAAATATTTTTGATTTTTTAATTTAAATCACTTGTCAACTAACCTTCAACGACATTTTCATACCCAACAATACTCGATGTGGTTTCATTGACGTTGTTGTGGCATCTCATCGGCACATCGTCGTCATCTTCACTATTCGACTCATCGTCATTATTTTCAGCTGCCAGGCACGCATCCTCGTCTTCTTCTTCTTCTGGTTCATCATCGTTCTGATAATATGTTGGAATGTCTTCATCATCAAGTATAGCAGCGTTGGGCACTACTGGAAGCACAGATGATGATGCATTCTTGTTCAATATATCAATGTGTGGTGTTGTATTCACATCAACTGACTGAATCGGCAATGACAAATCATCGGTATTTTGAATATCTACGTATATCTCCACAAACTTTCTAGCATGGGTTTGATCAGTACTCGTTTCTGCTTGTTCCACAAAAATATCTAATATAATATCAACATCATCATCATCTGTAATTGATATTGCTGTGTATTCAGAACTGCCAGCAAGAGCTCTTACAGTGATTTCAGAAATATGTTGATTCCTTAGTAACCCCAATTTATGGTGAATGTTTGCTTTCAAGCCCTCAAAAGTAGTACCCCGTGTAATACGCATCTGTCTCTTTTCACCTTCAAATGTTACACCATGACGACCAATCACCTTCCTACCATTATAGTATATAAGTGCACGAATTGTTTGTAAATTTGAACTCATTTTTCCTGTAAATAGTTAAACAAAATATAAATGCAATAAAATTAGTAATGTCATAATAAAATAATAATTAAACGAACAAATATAACATTGTACAAACCTTCACTGAACAATGAAAATATGTAATAAATCAACAACACAGCTTTCTGTTAACAAAACGGGGAAACATAAGTAAAATGCAGAAAGAAGGAAACGTTTAGACAACTTCGGAGAGTGAAAATGAAAATGCAGTTTTGGGAAGGTGTATATGTAGGTTTTGGTCGCGGTGTGCTAGAGAACATGTTATACCGGTGGCTGCATCAGAAAATTGGCTTTCTACACCGAGAAGCGTCTGCGTGACTATCGTTTCTAGACGCGACTGGACAGGTTACATGTTCCTTCTGCAATATTCCCATCAATCTCCGTGTTTAGTTGTGAAATGTGTAAAGGACGTGGTTTGTCATCTATCACCAACAAACATGATCCTGTACGTGCCGCGTTCCAGTCCATCAATCAGAAAACATGACCCTGCGCGTGCCGCGTTCCATGCATCAATCAGGTCGTGAAATGTGTAAAGGACGCGGTTGGTTTTTCATCACCAACAGACATGATCCTGTACATGCCGCGTTCAACTCCATCAATCAACAAACATGTTCCTGTCCATACCGTGTTCCATGCATCAATCACCCGGTTTGGCATAAAACTTGTAAAGGACGCGGTTTATTCACAATCACTTCTCAACGTGATACTCTATATAACGCGTTGTTCTGCATTACATAGGTAATTCATTTCACCGTGAAACTATTCCGGTGAAAGGTTATTAAAATTTCCCTACTAGGGTCAAATGGCCTTGAGAATGGGTCTGGGCCAGTGAGTCGTCATCTTGGATGTTTTTATTAAGATAGCCTTTTTCACAATTTGTGGATTGGGAGAAAGCTGATATGGCTTGTTTAATATGATTTGCATTGGTTTAAAAAAGAATTGTAATATAATTTGTTTTGATCTTAAAAATATATTTCATGGAAATATATCTGAGTTTTTACATATAATTATAGAAATCAGAAAAATAAGTTAATAAAAAAAATACCAATCAATCGAGTTTTTTCATTTTTTTATTTTGAAAACATGTTTTGAGAACAAATTCACCAAGCAGATTTTTTTGTTCTTTAATTTTTATAACTCTTTTCAAAACAAATTTATCAAACTGATTTTTTCCTTCTTTTATCCTAAAAAACAGTTTTTATAAACTATTTTACAAAATTATTTTAAGAACAAAAAAACTAAAACACTATCAATCAGACCCTTAGTTCCCTGTTATTTTCCCACAATTTTATATTATTTTTAATACAAATATCACATTTTTTTGTGCCAAGAAAAAATTGTCACCCATAATTTGAAAAATAACTTTTTAAACTGTCAAAATTTCTCAAAAATATGTTGTTTTTGAGATAGATTATATTAAAATTTCGTTGGTTTGTTGTTTTTGGATTTTGTAATGAAAATCGCTCAAAAATATGCTATTTTTGAGTTTTGATGAAGCTCCCATGGCGAAACCCGATTTTGAGTGGGTCAACCTTGCCAAAGGAAGAAGAAAACACTGCAATAGAGAAATATAAAGAAATCCTAAAGGTTATGGTAAGATTGTGAGGGAGGCATCCTATTTATATTCTTCACTAAAAAGTTTTACGAAATCCACACCAATAGAAAATCCATTTAAATCATCGGATTTTTGAATACCATGAGATTGTGATTCCATTGTTTAAAATCCTAATTGAATATCAATGGATTTGGACGGATTCTAAAATAATCTTTTAAAATCCTAATCAAATATCACGTGACTTTTTTTCAATCCATTAAAATTCTAATTAAATATCAACGGATTTTTTATCCAAAAATAATCTATTAAAATTCTTTAAAATCTCAATCTAATACGATCCCCTAAGTTTGGCCCGCACAAGTTTGTCAAATTTGCCCTGTAATTAATGTTGGATTGCACGTGATTTTGTTTTCAAAATTTGAAAGAGTCTTTGAAAAATAACGGGTCTCACGAGGGAGTATATATATATATATATATATATATATATATATATATATATATATGAGGTAGGATCCTTTGACACCGGTGTCAAATTTTAAATTTGACACTTCATCAATAGTCGTTAGATCAAAAAAGATCAATGGTGTCACATGCTTGCAAATCAGAGTCGTTGATCTTTTTTGATCTAACGGCTCTAAGATGAGGTGTCAAATTTAAAATTTGACACTGGTGTCAAAGGATCCTACCTCTGTATATATATATATATATATTTACATATATATTTGGAAGCTTTATTGATTTGCTTTGTGTGCACGCACGGTTTTGAATGTGCCAATCACCGCCTTCAACTTCAACTTCAACACCCAACAACATTCATTCGCTCTCTGAAAAAAGTAAAGACAAAACCCTAATGGCTCCTCGCGCCGATGAATATGAACAAGAAAACATCTTCGCCACTGACGAAGAAGACGATGACGACGTGGATGAAGGCCTCAAAGAGGACATGGCCGTGCTCGCCAGAGCTTGCACCATTGCCGGGACCCGCTGTGACGGCGATTTCACCTCCTGCGGTGATCTCACCATTCACTCTGACCAAATTCACGCCGAGGACCCGCTCTTGTCCGCCGGCGACGCCATTGCACCCGTCACCGATGGCTTTGGCTTCGACTCCGACTCTGATCTTCCCCCTAAGACCACAGCATCCATCGACGGCGAGGACGATTTTGCTGCGACAGACCGTGCTATTTTTAATCGGTTTTCCACCTACAACGAAGGTCCTCATGAAGGCGGAATGGGAACACCAGCTGATGGGGATATTATTAACAGCTCGATCTCTGACACATCCGATGATGGTGAATTATGTCCTGTTTCTCAATCTCCTAATATGGCCACCAATTTGCGTGGTTTTGTTGAGAGTTTTATATCTGATCCCTGCAAATTAACCAAATTACCACTGTCGGCTCAGGCTTAGGCTCGCACTGATTCTCAATGCCTGAAGAGATGGAAGGTGTTATTTCCTGATCAAGTTCCTTTGCTTCAAAAGGCAAGAAAGACTCTAAAGTCTTATCTTGCTATTAACTTTGTTGATCGAGAATCTGAACGCCCGCCCCTTGCACTGGATGACTTTCTTCCTTTATGTATGTTAGTTTCACCATCTGATGATAGTGCTGTGAATCTCCCCAGGAAGCGGAAGAGGAAGTCAAGCAGAATAACGCCTAAAAAACAGGTAAATGAAGCTCGACACTGTCCCAAGTAAGTACAAGATGTAGTATTTTTAGCTGAACAATAAACAACGTGAGTGCAGGATAGTATGACATGGCTTCTGAACCCTCCAGAACAAGACCTGCCATTGATTCTAGCTGATAATGGCTTCGACGTGTGGATTGTTAACACTAGAGGAACCAGATATAGCCGCCGACATACCTCATTGGACCCCTCTAACCCGGTTGGTTTTTTAGTTTTCTTTTGAGGTTGTATTGTGTTTTTGCTTTAATAATGTCATGGTTATATTTTCATCTGTTAAAGTAACACTTTGTTTTTTGCTTTAATAGTGTCATGGTTTTATTTTTATTTGTCAAAAGTAACATTTTTATGTAAATATTACAGGCTTTTTGGAATTGGTCTTTTGATGAACTGGTTTACATATGATCTACCTGATGTGTTTGATTATGTGTTCAGCCAAACTAGGCAGAAGATTAATTACGTTGGCCATTCTTTGGTACTACATTACATACTTTATTTTGTTCATTTTGAAGGTAGGATAATTTTAAAGTTTCATTATCAATTTTAATCATTAGTCCTATTATAAATTAATAGACTGGTACTAATAATCATAATTTAGAACAAACGATTTTTCTTTTCAATTTTATTTTATTTTGTTTAACTTAGAAAAAGAGAGAGTAGAACTTGAGTTATTTTGAGCAAACATACTACCAGCAACATCTGGGAAATATAAATGAACTTCAGTGCACAATTCCTCTGGAAACTGGAAGACTATGTTTGGCAGGGAACTTTAATAGCTTTGGCTTCCTTCTCCGAAAGGAAATTGGTTAACCAGCTGAAATCAGCAGCATTGTTGAGCCCCATTGCCTATTTGAGCCACATGAACAGCGCACTTGGAGTGGTTGCAGCCAAGTCTTTTCTTGGGGAGGTACATAACACTAGCTCTTGTTACTCTAAATAATATGCTTTACACACAGAGAGAAGTAGAGGCATTTGCTGATTCAGGGTAAAACTTTTTTCTTTTCCAAACAGATCACTACCTTATTTGGTCTGGCAGAATTTAATCCCAGATAGTAAGTACATAGAACTTACTATATAATATAACAAGCTGTCTCTCCTTACCTTACCCACATTATGATTCTAATGTACAATTTAATGCATTTTTTTTAATAAGTACCCCTTCACGCAAGAGTCTTTTTGAACTGAAGTGTGGATATTGTACAATCTCATTTTTTTATTCTACCTTGTACTAACTTAATCACTAGAAAGTGGGGGCAGTGAGTATCGAATTCGTGAACCCATGGTCACATAGGCTCAGATGTCATGACAAGAAATCATTTCAACCTAATAGCTTAAGCTATTATGGAAGATCATCTCTACTGCAAAGATCTACATGAGCCCATTATCCTTGATGAGAGACCAGCAGGCAAAACTGATAAGGAATGTGAGATCCTGAGTCAGAAAGCTATAGCCACGATCAGGAAATATATTGATAAAAGCCTCTTTGAGCACGTGTCCGAGTTCACGAACGCGTATGGGTTGTAGACGAAGCTGGAGTCCATGATTCAAAAGAAGACTCCCAGGAATAAAGCATACCTGGTTCGTCGACTTGTGAAGCTTGAATACAAGGACGACATGAGCATGATTGAACACCTGAACACCTACAAAGGTATTGTGAATCAGCTGTCAAAGGCTGATATAAAAATTGATGAAGAATTGCAGGCATTGTTGCTGTTTAACTCGCTGCCAGAAAGCTGGGATACTC